TTAGGAGGGGAGGCCTGTGGGAGTGGGTGGTGGCTTCCTGAAGGCAGCAGAGAGCTGCCGGCCTATGCCTCAGGAGCACACAGGGGGCGCCATCTGTGCCCCAGGCTCCAAGCCCACCAGAGCCCGGACTCCGGCCTCCGGCCTCCAGGACTGCTTCTCCTTTTTCTTCCTTTACTGCCAGAGGGTGCACGTGCTCCCTAGAGACAGAGGGGGAGGGAGAGGGGGAAAGCACCCCGGTGGGCGATCTCTGCCGTCTCTCCATCTGTCAGGACTTGGGGCATGAGCACACACCTGATATATTTTTCGGGCTTCCAGTCCCAGGACTCAAACCACGGTCGAGAGAAGTGGGATTCAGGACCCTTAACCACTGCACTATGGCGCCAGGCCCGGATTTTCTCAATCACTTAAAATGTAAAGTATGAGCAGGGCCAACAGGTGGCATAGTGGCTCTGTTACTGCATTCTGACACGGTTGACCACAGTTCAAGTCCCGGACCCAGTGGCTTGAAACTCACGCCAAACGTGGGTGCATGGGTATACAAAACCCCATGGAAAATCGACGAGACGGACTGTGGCCATCCCCCTGGGGGGTAATTTCTCAATATCCGTTTCTCTGTCTCCTCTGTCTCTCCAGCAAGCACATGTGCCCTAATGCAAAAATCTAACAATAATAACAGTAACATGTGAACTAGGAGGGCCAGCAGGTGGCGTAGTGGTTAAGGACTGGACTCCCACATGGGCAACTGCAGTTTGAGTCCCAGACCCGCATCTTGAAAAGCTTGACACTCAGGCTGGTGCACACGCACGCCCAAAATCCAAAGAGGAAAATGGAGGAGAGACTGTGGCGTGGCCAACTCCGAGCGGTGCTGTGTCCCTTTGTCCGTCTCTGTCTCTCTTGGGTGGGTTTCTGAGAGTGGATTATTCACTTGTTTATTAAAATGCTTTTTCCTGTCCTGAGCCTCCAGGAGGCAAACGCACACTCCCTAAAAGCAAAAGTCTCTCAAAAAAGAAAAAAAGTCAACTATGTCACTGTGAAGATGTACAACAAGAGACAGCTGAAATCTTCACGCACAGCCAGCGCAGGGACAGCCAGTGGGTCATTATTATTTTTTTGTTTTTTTATTTGACCAGAGTGACAGGGAACGTGACAAAGCAAGCTGCCAGGTCCGGCACTCGAACCGCAGTCGGCCATATAGAAATGCAGTCCCTTTAACCACCACACCACCTGCCGGCCCCAACAATGTCCTCGGAGCCTGTCCTTGAGAGCTGCCGTCCAGACCTGCCCACACCACTTACCTTCAATGATCTTGGCAGCAAACTCCCGGATGGACTTAAGGGAGGCCAGGTCCAGGTGCCGGGCCCTGACCCTGTGGTTGAGGGTCTCCCCACGGATGTCCCTGGCTGCGGTTTCGCATTTCTCCATGTCTCGACAGGCCAGGATGACACTGCCTCCTGGAAGCACAAGGTGGGAAAAAGCGTTTTTTCTTTTTTACAGTAAGACTTGTTTTTTTTTTTTTTAATAATGTATTTATTTATTTATTCATTCATTTATTTTGATTTGACCAGAGAGAGACAGAGATAGAGAAAGCGAGAAACCAAGCCACTAGGTCTGGGCCTTGAACCGGGGTCGGCCATGTGGGAGCATCCAGCACTTTAACCACCACACCACCTGCTGATCCCAGGGGAGAAGCATTTTAATAAACAAGTGAGGAATCCACTCTCAGATACTGACTCACATCACACACATGCAAGAGGCCTTCAAACGCTCACAAGAAGCACATACTATCGGGAACCAGCAGTTAGCGTAATGGCTATGTCGCTGGACTCCCACGTAGTCGACCGCGGCTCGCGTCCCGGACCCGTTGGCTTAAAACTCACGCCGGGCGCGTGTGCGTGTGTGCCCAAGATCCCGAGAGGAGAATGGAGAAGGGATTGCGGCGTGACCATCCCCCCTGGGAGGTGATTTCTCGCTTTCTGTCTCTATGTCTCTCTCTGTCTGTTTGGCGAGCGCACGCGCCCTATAGCGAAAATCTCTCCAAAAAAAAAAAAAAAAAAGTAAAGAAGCACATACTATCAAGAAACTATATTTGGATTTTAAAATTTTTCGTACCAAAAAACAAACTCGGACATTTTTCTTATTTTAATTTGTTAATATCCTAAGTTTGCTACAGGGCATGTGCACTCACCAGAGAGAGAGAAAGAGAGAGGGAAGTGAGAAAGCAAGCCGCCAAGTCTGAGACTCAAACCGCGGTGGCCACGTGGGAGTCCAGCACCCTAACCACCACACCGCCCGCTGGCCCCACGAACTCCTATTTTAATCCCGCCTCTCTTCTTACATTTTTTTCTCCTTCCATGAGCAGGAGAGACCAACGGAAAGAGAGAGGGACAGTATCCCCGTCAGGGTCCTGATGCCCCATCCCCGTCAGCCAGGCCGGGTCACAGACACACGTGTGCCCAGTATGTACGGGAGGGCTGCAAACGCGAGCCCAGAACCTCCCGGCCAGGTCAGCTTTGTGGAGCGGCACGGCTGGTCCCCTAGTGCCATCTGAAGTGCCCGTCCGCGTACACACGTGTTCACGGCACACCACCCGCACACCTGTCCACAGTGAGCACGCGGACAAGCCCCAAAGCCTTCTGCTCCGCTAACGTGACCCGTCTGCACGAAAGGCCCAGCACGGGCAAACCCAGAGACAGACAAGTAATGGTGCCCGTGGGCCAGGGGCGGCCCCGCGGAAACGCGGCACTCTGCAGGCCTGCCCTGCACCGGCGGCTCTCGGCCTGTGTCCAGAGACCTCCCTGAATGTGCGGGGCGCGTGTGCACCTGCACTCCTGGCTGGCCGAGACGAGATGGACAAAGTCACCACATAAAGTACCTGTTGGGGGGCCGGCCGGTGGGTGGCAGTTAAGGTGCTGGACTCCCACAAGGCTGACCACAGTTCAAGTCCCAGACCTGGCAGCTTGCTTTCTCACATCCCCTCTCCCTCTCTCTCTGTCTCTTATCAAATTAAAATAAATAAATAAATTTATAAATAAAGTTAAATTCTTATTTTTTAAAGAATTATTTATTTTATTTGGATTTTTTTTGGGGGGGGGAGTTTTTGCTATAGGGCATGTGCACTCGCCAGAAAAACAGAGAGAAACAGAGAGACAGAAATCACCCCCCAGGGGGATGGCCACGCCACAATCCCTTCTCGACAGGCCATTCTCCTCTCGGGATCTTGGGCACACACGCATACACAGCTGCTGTGAGTTCAAGCCACCGGGTCTGGGACTTGAACCACGATCGACTACAAGGAGTCCAGAGACATGGCCATTACGCCATCTGCTGGTCCCAATGTTGTTATCATTGTTTTTAATTTGACCAGACAGAGACAGAGAGAGAGGAGAGAAAAGGAAAGTGAGAAAGCAAGCCTCCAGGTCTGGGACTCAAGCCACAGCTGGCCATGTGGGATTCCAACACCTTAACCACCAGGCCACCTGCTGGCCCCAAATAAAATAATTCTTCAGGAAAAGTCCTGTTGGGAGTGCTGTCTCTATGACTCTGTCTCTATCTCGCTCTCGCTCATGGAAGAAAATCAATTTTTCAAAAAATATTAGCAGGGCGCCCTATAGCGAAAATCTCTCCAAAAAAAAAAAAAATATTAGTGGGAACCAGCAGTTAGCATAATGGCTATGTCGCTGGACTCCCACGTAGTCGACCGCGGTTCGCATCCCGGACCCGGTGGCTTAAAACTCACGCCGGGCGCGTGTGCGTGCGTGCCCAAGATCCCGAGAGGAGAATGGAGGAGAAGGGATTGCGGCGTGACCATCCCCCCGGGGGGTGATTTCTCGCTTTCTGTCTCTCTGTCTCTCTCTGTCTGTCTGGCGAGTGCACGCGCCCTACAGTGAAAATCTCTCCAAAAAAAAAAAAAAATTAGCAGGGAGCAAGCCGGTGGCATGAAGGTGGCTTGATCCCATATAGCTGGCCACAAGTCAAGTCCCAGACCTGGCAGCTTGACAATCAAGCCAGGTGCATGTGCACCCATGTCCAAAATACCAAGAGAAGGACGGACTGCGGCCATCCCCCCGAGGTGGCTTCTCACTTTCCCTCTCTCCAGGAAGCAATGCACCCTGTGGCAAAAATTTGAAAAGAAAAAAGTGAAAAAGCTTTCTTAGAGCTGGGGATGGGGAGGGGAGTTGGGGTGCTGGCCAAGGGGGAGCCAGGTCTCTTCTCAGGGTGGTAAAATGACCGAAGCGGCATGGCGACAGTCACCACTCTGACCGCACTCGCTATCCTCTCCGGGCCGGCCCACAGCCCAGCAGTTAGGGGAGCTGGATCCCGCATGGCGACTGCGGTTCAAGTCCCTGCCCATGGGGCTTGGGAAACACGCTGGGAACACGTGCACGTGCCCACACCCTAGGAGGATGAAGAGATGGAGGGCGGCCATGTGCCCTGCCTCATCGGGACGCTTTCTCCCTCACCCTCACCTCTCCTGTCTCTGTCTCTCTGAGGAGTTCATGTGCCCTACAGCAAACTGTTTTCAATCCACCATACAGGGACCAGCAGTTGCCATAATGGCTATGTCGCTGGACTCCCACGTAGTCGACCGCGGTTCGCGTCCCGGACCTGGTGGCTTAAACTCACGCCGGGCGCGTGTGCGTGCGTGCCCAAGATCCCGAGAGGAGAATGGAGGAGAAGGGATTGTGGCGTGACCATCCCCCCTGGGGGGTGATTTCTCGCTTTCTGTCTCTCTGTCCCTGTCTCTCTGGCAAGTGCACACTCCCTATAGCAAAAACCTCTCAAAAAAAAACCAAAATCCACCATAGGTGCAGATCACAGCTCGTGTACCCTGGTGCCCGCCACGGCACTCGGGTTGGACACCTGGGACCTTCGGCAACCCTGGCGTGGATCTGAACACGGGTACATCTTTACCTCTCCGAGACCAGGGTTTACCTCTCTTGGCCAGCTCCAAGGCTGTCTGTTTCCCGATGCCCGTGTTGGCGCCCGTCACAATGACTGTCTTCCCGGGTATGGTGGCCTTGCTAGGACAAGCCCCGCCGGAGACGTAGTCCCTGAAGGTTAGAAAACAAAACGCGGTTTTGTCTGTCCATGTGGTTTTGTCTCACCCCACGTGTCCGCCGA